GCGTTACTTTTTATCTTATATATATCTTATCTTTCTCAGACCACTTTATATCAAGGATAGCAGTTGTAGTAGTAGACCTGACTGTTGTCAGTGATATCTATTTGTTTGTTCATTGTCTGTGCGTTACTTTTTATCTTATATATATCTTATCTTTCTCAGACCACTTTATATCAAGGATAGCAGTTGTAGTAGTAGACCTGACTGTTGTCAGTGATATCTATTTGTTTGTTCATTGTCTGTGCGTTACTTTTTATCTTATATATATCTTATCTTTCTCAGACCACTTTATATCAAGGATAGCAGTTGTAGTAGTAGACCTGACTGTTGTCAGTGATATCTATTTGTTTGTTCATTGTCTGTGCGTTACTTTTTCGATTCGCATGATAACGAGCACTGCAACGCACGCCGAATACAGCCGGTTACATATTTTACATAGCTCGCTTAAAGTATCAAGATATGTCACCGTGCTGTAAATGCCAGGAGCACACATCTCTAAAGCTGCTTTATGAGCATGTGAGGCGATCATAACGTACAATAATTTGCATGGGAATCATATGCAAGACGGACTCTATATATTAATGTTGAGAGAAATTCTGGACTAAGGTGATAGTATCCGAGGACACAGCACAGGGCCCCGTTGTGGGGCCATTGAACTACATACACATACCTTAATCAGATGAGTATCCTGACTAAAACCTGTGAAATACACAAAGGAGAATGGAATTTTTGGGCCCGAAGTTAACAAATTGGTATATACTTCAAAAAATTGTTTATATTTTTCTGAGTATAAATACAAAAAACTAGCTCATTTTACAATCTAGATTTGAATGAAATTTAGAATTTGTAAAAAAACATTAAAATAAGAAATAATTTGGAATATCGATTATAATAATACAATCGTTTCTAAATCTATTCGGATAAAAATAAATATAAACTAAAAAAGCTACTAAGAATTAATTTAAAACAAATATAATACTTTGAATATATGAAAATATTTGGATCCTTTTGAAATCAAAATACGTTATTTACATAAGGAAAAAATGAAATAAACATTTATTAACAATAAATCGATTAACATATAGAATCCACACACTAGTGTAATTCTCGTTTTGGAGCGATACATAGACTAACGTCTTCTAAATAGTTCGTAGTACTTCTCGTTTTGACACTTGACAGTACAAACTGCAGAATTATTTACTCACTTGTAGTTTGGTTGAATATTTATTTACCACTTGAATTACAAGAAAGCTTGGAACAGTTTATAATATAAGAGCTGATGTTATTTCAGCAAATCATCACAGGCGAAGTAAGTAGGCATTTACCTCCACTTACACTTATAATATGAGAATTTATAAATATAATTATTCTTTAAGGCTTTTACCACCTTCAACACTTGAAAAATATTTATTTGTGTTAAATAACTATATTATCTATAGTCTGAAATCGACTGTTACAATCTAGGTAAAATATAACCTCACTTTCACTTAATCTTAAATAACTCAGCTCCTGGATTGATAAATCTTGCCAAATTTTCAACTGTGGATTGTTTATATGTAAGCTTTCAAATGATCCAACTTTCATGTTGTTAACACCTGGGCCCAAGAATGTATGGAAACGTATCCGTCTCCTTTGCAGACGCTACATGTTTGGTATACACAGACATTGAAATAGACGTCGCTCTGCCTCCACTCCAAACGGACTTCACCCTTCTAAAAAAGTGATCTCATGATGATGGGCTTGTTTTAAGTACAAAACTAAGCTAATGTCTCTCAACTCCAACCAAAATTGGTTTAAACCGAGTCCTCGATTAATCGTTCACGACCTCGCTTGCTTTCACTTAGACAACAACAACTGCGCATGTGAATAATGGAAGTGGTAAGAATGCAAAACTCTTGAGCTTGTAATTGATGACCGCTTTATGGACTGGACTACAACTATTGAATACCCTATTTAACGAAAATTTTGCTTTATAACTTCGATTATTGGTCTGAGCGCGCGAATACCTATCAACAATCTTAGCTTTATAAATTATTTGGATCTGTAATACCCTGTGGGCCGAGTAGTTATTAACGGCATACAAATTTTATCATAACCTAATTTATCAACATCACATAAAAGAAACAAGTAAAATTATTCCCATCCACAAGAAAAATAAATTGAAATTAAATACTCACCAAATAGTGTTTCAGTAAAGATAACATACAACACTCAACTGATTATACAACTGATTATAAGAAAAACAGTCGTAGTTTATCATGAACTTTACTAAAAATATTACGATCTCATTACGGAAAGCAATGACTTGCCTATATTATAATTGTACCTAAACTAGTAAGTTAAAAACGATATTACTATAATATGCAAAATATTGAAAGAAAATAAAACTTCTTTTCTTATATAAAATAAAAGAATTTCCTTTAATAAATAACTTAATTATATTTTAAATATAATTTACATACATATATGTAGAATAATGTCGTATTATATAAAAACAGTTATGTATATATACTGTATTACGTGTTATATTCGTTAAAATTTTGTAAACATCCTGTTTACGTTCAATGGCCAGTCGGCACTGTTTCGGTAGTAAAATAATGTATCACGTGACGCATCTTACTACCTGTGAAAACACGCACTGCAAGCGTGTAGTGTAGATCATCGCGACTTAACGCGTATTCTAATTATCGTATTGTATTTGATACAGTGGCGTAGCGTGCCTGAGAGGGGCCCTGTATCAAAATTTGTTGGGGGGCCCAACGAAAGGCCCGAAACAGCTCGCATTGAATTGAAAAAATTATATATTGATTATAGGTTAATAATTACTATTAACGCTACTAGGAACTAAGCTAGCCAAATAATTCAAATCTAATATAAGCTTTTCTTATCTAGCTCGGCGAACTTAATAGGTCGCGGAAAAAGTTTCTTCGTATTTCATATACACAATTTTTTTTTTCAAAGTTTCATTACATTTAAATATAACAAATATAAGAGTATGGGCCATTTTGTTCGATAACTTGTTGCCATCTTGTAAGTAGATGACATAATTCCGTTGTTGTAGAAATTTTGGGATTTTGATAAAAAAATGCGACAAGTAGTTTTGAGAGTCCTCTCTTGATATTACCCTAACACTACCCAAAGAATTCTGAAGTGACCGAAACAGGTGAAAATCTGAAGGTGCAAGGTCAAGACTATATAGTGGATGCATCGATCACTAACGGTGGATGCATTAACACTGCTCAACCAAGCGTTCTCAATGTTTGCTGAGTGGCTAAATATTGTGTGGTCTTTCGTTATCATGATGAAAGACCACTCCTTTTCTGATGATTCCGGTCGTTTTTTCTCGATTTTTTCTTGAGTCCAACAAGTTGTTGGTAGTAGATGTCCAAATCAATGGTTTTGCCCAGCTATAAAGCTCGTAATAAACGATGCCCTTCTTATCCCACCATACACAAAGCATCACTTTATTGCGTGTTAATCCGGGTTTCGCTACCGTCTGTGGGCTAGGCTACCGTTTAACCATGATCTTTTTTGTACGATCTTGTCGCAAGTATTTCACTCACACCGTCAGTGATTAAGCTTTGCTAAAAGGTTCAGTTTTATTACGTTTCAATAGAGAATCGAAAATGAGTCCAAGATTCCTTAGATCTCTTTCAGTGAGCCCGTGTGATACCTAAATATCGAACTTTTTTGTATAGCCAAACTCTCAAATGGCTCAAAACTGTTTTGTGGTCAATCTTCAATTCTTCGGCTATGTTGTAAAGAACTACTTCCTCCACTTTTTCAAAAAAGACATCGACTTTATTCGTATGAAGGTGAACATAGTGAGCTGCATCCTTTTTTGTAATAAAACTTCTAAATGTGTCGAATTTCTTCGTTGGATTCACTAATTTTGGCAGACAGAAAAACAATTGAATTAAAATTTAATTGACATTTCAAATCTACAGAAAAACTACAGAAAATTGGACAATTTCTGTAGTTGCACATTGGGAACTTGGGAACTATTTGATGATATGATTTTCAAGTGGATTTGTGGATAACATTTTACGAATTTTTGATTACACACGTTGGGGGCTCCTGTAGCCCGGGGGCCCCGTATCATTGATACGGCTGATATGGCGGTAGCTACGCCCCTGATTAGATATTGTCTGTACGCAAGAGCAAAAAACGGTGTCCCGGTGCGGTGTACTGATAAATTTTGTTAGGTTCTTGCGACACCTTGTTTTAATAAACTCAAGTTGTCGATGTTCGTTTTATTTTAATTTCAAAAATAGAGATTATTATAACATTGATGTGTTGCGATAGATTTTGTTTAGAATCCAACACAAAGCAATTATCATATATAACCTTTACTTATTTAAAATATTTATTATACGAAATAATGTGAACATAAAATGAACTTTGTTGTATGTGTTATAATCAGCCAGTCTCAATGATTTGGATGTTTAAGACCCCTTTTTGCATCAAAGTTTGTTTGGGTAGGTTATTACCTATTGCAGCCGCCATATTATAGCCGTGCCGGCACTGCTGAGTTCGGCCTTATACAATGCCAGTATAATTACAAGCTGCAGGTATTCAATTTGAGTCCTCAGAGGTGAATACACCTGTAGACATCTTTATTTGAAGTTGGTTGAAGATGTTTAAAGACTGCATAATCACTTATCATCATTTGCTTGAAGTTGGTTGAAGATATCTAAGGACTGCAGAATCACTTACCATCATTTGCTTGAAGTTGGTTGAAGATATCTAAGGACTGCAGAATCACTTACCATCAGGTATATTTGTCACCATAAAGATAATATAAATAGTACATATGTTATAAAAAAGTGAATGAAAACATATATCCAGATTTAAAATAACCAATTTGTTAACAATAAAATATGTGTATGTGTGTGTATTAATTGTAAAATAAAAATATGTGTACGAAATGTTTGCTGATAGATTTTTTTTTTTTGCTAATGCTTAGAATGCTACAATAAACAACATTTAAAAAAATTTGTAGAATGTTAACACTTGCCGAACCACTTTCATCTGGTAGTGGACAGCAACATAAGCAGGTAATCATCATTTTTATATTAAAGACTATTGTTTCTATAGAATCAATGCAGCCTCTCCGGATCCCTGACTTTTGTTTCTCCACTGTCACTCAGGATGAAATTAAAAAGCTCTGTTAGCCATTAAATCCAAGGCTGTGGGTTATGATTAAATTAGTAAGCAAATGGTGTCTATGATTCTTGAGTGCCTTCTTCCAGCTATAACATACATTACATATTATTGTATGGACTCAGGTCAATACCCTACCGCATGGAAAAAGGCTTTTGTGAGACCTCTTCCTAAAATACCTAATTCTGTTTTCCCTAACCATTTTCTCCCATACCTTTCCCCAACCGTTTTACGACATGCATAAAGTGATAAGAATGTTTATGAACCTTATGCATAAAGATATAAGAAGGTTCATAACAATACTAAAATAAATAAAAAGCTTTGGATTTGCCAACTAAACTAGCCTTAACTAGTTTTCTTGCGTTAATGCTACTTAGAGCCAGAGATTTTGAACTAACGAACAACAAAGTAGAAGTCAGGATCTCTTAGAACTTAAAACTCAGTTACACGAAATGTAGAAAGTTCCGATAGGAATTCAAAGAAGTTAATAGTAACATGATCTTATTGATATACTTATTCGGAATGAAAAAAAAAACTATTTAAAGACAAATTATACATTAAATGATAGATATACATTTCATTCTGGTTACTAATTAAAATGTGATGGCATTTAACAGGGTTTAAGTTTATTGCTCTTTCCTTCTTCTCCTTAGATGCTTTGTACAGCGGTTTTAAATTGTAAAACGTAACAACTATTTGGTAATATTTTTTAATAACTTACAAAGACTTTCATAGTTCTCAACAATGTAAAATGTGATATTTTACGGTACTTGCTGATCTGGAACCCAGGTAAAGAATTGTATTTTCGATTAACCACGCAGTAAGATTTTCCGGTACGACATAGTCTTTGAGAATTGGCGTGTTGCTCATGCGACTATCGTAATGATGTGCGAAATGTGTATTGATCATTCTTTTTTTGAAAAAAAAAGTTTAAAAAATCAGACAGTCATTATCACAAGTACTTAAAGTTTTCTGCTTTCCTATTTTAGAAATTTATTAACATAACATAAAACTTAAACTATATGGAACTCATATGATAAAACTTTAGTGATGTGTTTTATTTTTAGAATGGCGGAGTACTTGATACACTTCACAGTGACATACCGAAACTTAAACAAGTGATTGATTTGTTGCTTAAAGATATTCAACAAGGAAAACATTTATTGCTAGTCGAGAACCAGGGATTGCAAAATAAAAATATCGCAAACAGACTGTTACAGATTTTAAACCACCCTACGGAATATTTGCAATTACACCGCGATATAACGATACAGTCTTTGATAGAACAGCCAAATCACGAAACCGGCATGTACGAGGATTCACCACTGATTAAAGCCGTTAAATATGGTTGCGTGTTAGTTGTTGATGATGTGGATAAAGCGCCAACAAACGTGACATGTAGTTTGAATACATTAATGCAAACGGGAGAAATGGTATTGAGTGATGGTAGAATAATAATGTCCAAAAAAATTGTGAATAGTTATGGAGGAAAATTAGCGATTTTATTCCTCTCCATTAAAACTTTAGAATGATAGTTATGGCTACTCACAATGGCTTTCCATTTTTATAGAAAGAATCGTCTGCTCCTCTAGGTAATCCATTTTGAATATACTTGTAGACTTTGATATGGTTTAAGTTGCCATTAGTGAATTAATGTTCGTGGAACCAGTAATCTTTTTAAATTATATTGTTCATTATTACCGGTAGTAATTGTTCTTCAATATCTGCCGGGAGCCAAGAAAATTTTGAAGCCAAGTCCCGTTGGCGACTTTTGGATAATTACGATGGTGTGATAGATTCTGACGCTGTAGTCGCATTATGGCGGCAGTACGAAAAAGTCGGCTTTACATTTGTGGAACACGCTCTCAAAAAATATCAGCTTAAAAAAAACCAAAAATACTATGTTAAGTTTCTAACAGTTAATGACGAGATCCAGAAACCTCTTTTGCTGGTTGCAAACTTTGATTTTTATTACATAACAGATGTACACACATACACAATTTACTTACTACCAGCAAGTGAATTGTGATAGACTCTAGGCATAAATTCAGCGCGCCTAGGTAGGTAACATATGGGTGGAATTTAGAAACGATCAACTTAATCGGTGTTTCTGTCGTTAGCAGTTCTTAGGGTGGCACAAGTCGCGGGCTCGAACTCATTGGTGGGCGCGGCCAAAAAAGCACGTTGTCTCACCTGGCATCGTGCCCGACAGAGATAGTATCAGTGAAGAGCAGTTAGAACGCACATCTTGTTCGTACGGCGTTCCGAACCGTTAGAACAAAAACGAAGTTACACGAACACGATGCACACATACATACCACCCTATTCTGTGCCGCTCGACGCTTGCTGAGAAATCAGCAGTACCTACCTACAAACTAAATGTAAACTTATTTTTACTTACTTATTTTTATTTATTTATTATTTTAATAAATAAATAAAAATAAGTATTAATAATTTCTAGACACATCTCAACAGATATTTCGTTTATAAATTGCTATCAATATTGAAGCATTCTTTTATATTTAGCATCCATTTAACACAAAGCTGATAGGAATACTTTTTAAACAACATAATCAATAAACGATAATCGCGTATGGTGCATTTCGAGGTAAATTATTATATGTAAACGTTTTTGAGTCATCGTAATGAAACATATTTCCTAAAGAAAATATTTTCACAATTAATTTGATGTAAAATAACATTAGAAATAACGTATAAAAACAGAAAAATTATCAAATTTTTGATCGAGTTCCTAACCAGTACACAAACAAAAATGGCGAAATATCATTTTCAGATTTTTTTCTATATAGTTATTTGTTACAGAGTACACAGATAAAATTCACTCTCACAGATGACAAATTTCAAACACCACAATCTCTAATTTTTTACTCTGCTATCTTCAGCGCTGTACACGAACGGAACGATGTCGTTGAGAGCCGTGGTAGCTCACATGGTTAGCGCTCGTTATAGGTATCACAGTACGGGAGCAACCCGGGTTCGATCCCCACTGGCACCAATGAAATTTTTGCGTGCTGATTTAGCTATCAGTTGGAAAGTCTGTTTTTCTGGGCCGTTTTGTTTTGTTACACTGACATCTCGCAAGTCACCTAGGGACCTAGGAGGTTGTCGGTTGCTTATTTTTTATTTTTCTTTAAAATTTTCGTCGGTAAAATAACATATTTATAAAAGTAAAAAAAAGTAAAGTTACAGCCTATATACGTCCCACTGCTGGGCACAGGCCTCCTCTAATTTCTGAGAGGGTTTTAAGGCAAGGAAATGTCCGCCACGCTGCCTCAATGCGTGTTGACGAACTTCACATTTCTTTGAAATAATATATTTTTTAATTTCTCAGACATGCAGACCCGAGTTCGATCCCCGCCGGTACCAATGAAATTGTTAATTGCAATTGTGCTGATTTACCACGTGCTCGGCGGTGAAGGAAAACATATTGAGGAAACCTGCACGTCTGAGAATATAATTATAATCGAATGTAAATCAAATTGACATAGGTAAGTACAGATAAAATTAGCGGAACATTAATAAAATTTTGAGATCGTTTTTTTTTTCAAAATTTTATTTATATATTCCTCTATTTTTGTCTGTGCTTATATCAATTTGATTTAATCCAAAGTTCAAGCAGGGGTCAATGTAGCGTAGTAATTTAGAGCGCAGATATAGCTATAGTCATACGAACGTCACAGGCCGCAGCTGAGGCTGACTGAGTCGAATAAAACTAGAATAAGCGCGCGTCACCGCGCATGCATGTGTGTGTAAGTGTCGTCCTCTCGCACCGCACCGGCGGAAATATTATTCAGTGAGATGCACGATAATTCATATAAACACGCGCGCGTAAAAAATACGAAAAGGCCTTTGGAAGGAGGGGTTTTACGAAAAAAACCACTGCATGAATCAATTACTAATAAAATTTATTGAATTCTTCGATAATTGAGCTGTGTCGGTACCGACTTTGTTTTGGAAATTTTACACTGCTTTTATTACTAATTTACGCCCAAAGTTGTGTTAAAATTGGCAATAAAAACGAATCTTTGGTAGCTCGTAACTTTTTTACTGACTTTTTATTTTACTATTCTGTTTCGGTACAGACAAAATTAATAATGAGACAAAACGATATCATGTTTAACTTTGGATGTACACTGTCAAATAGCGGAGTAAACCCCTCCGAAATTTCTATGGAAATAATGTCGACTAGAGTCACCTTAAGGGTGCATGTTTGAAACTTTTACCGACATAAATAATTGCTGCAGGTCTGGATTTTTGTCTTTGCAAAATGTATGTATGTATACTGCTTCCACGAGACTGAATAAAAAGCTACAGGTGTTTAAAAATGTATTTTAAAAAAAGAAAATAAAAGAAATATCGTTCTTATAGAAATCCTTGATTAAGTATTTGCCACCATTTCGGCTCTAGCCCAGTGGTCACCACTGCTGTGTTCGGTGGTTATGGCACGGGACCACATTCTGCTACAGCTGTAGCCACAGGTTCAGCCGTCACCACGGCAACAGCATTGACTTATAGTAAGGGTAGCTCGACTGCTACGGCAACTGCTTCCGGTTCGTCAGTAGCCATTGCCATAGCACACTCATACGACGCAGGAGTAGTCAACGCCACAGTGACCACTTGTGGCTCATCAGTTAGCTGGGGCACAGCAGACGCATACAATGCAGGACGCGCCACTGCTACAGTAACCTCTACTGGTTCATCTGTTGCCGGCGCCATAGCAAGAGCACAAGACTCAGGAGTTGCTACCGCCACGGCATCCACTACTGGCTCAGCGTCCGTCAAGGCCAGAGCAACAAGTTAGCTAAGCACCTAAACCTAAATTTATAATAAATTTGTTAAACCTTTAAATATAAGTAATAATTCCTTTTGTTATTTTGTTCATTATTTCTGAAGTGTTATATTTTTAGTAACTGTATTATTAATAATATTAGGCATTTCTAACGACAAAAAAAAAAAAACCAAAAAAACTTAAATAGTGTGATTATAATGGAATTGGTTACGATTTACACTAAATCCCTATGTCCCCAAATACTTTTGTATGTCAAAAGAATAATCTTAGTGAAGAAAATATTATTAATTTTCATTTCATATTATGGCGAAAAAATATTAAGTCATTAAAATATATTTCTGTCGTATATTTTGAGCCTATGTTGTTAGCAGACTGTCTATATTTAGGCTTTCAAAAGACTATATAATCATGAGCTATGAGAAATTTTATTTTAGCCATCAGAGGTGACAGTGCATCTGTAACCTTCTTTGTTTGAAATTGGTTGCAGGTGTTCATAGGCTGCAGAAGAAGCAACGTACAATCAGATGGATTTCATTTGTTCCTTCAATTTGACTAAAAATTATTATGCAAAATTAAAAAGTTGTCTACCACAAATTCTTCATCAGCTTTTCCCCCTTTTTGGATCGCCAACTTTGCCGTTCTAAATATTAGTATTAAACAAGAGCAGAATTCCGCTGTTTACAAAAACTGCCCAGGACAAAACAGTGTAATCAATCCATGCAGCCCTCTGCTACACTCGCCGTGAATTTCTACATTATTAGAGGATTTCCAAGCTAGCTTTGCTTTTCTTCATCAAGACAAAGGTTGTGGAAGAGGGAAGAGCAAGCCGATTACTTAATTTATAATCACTAACGGATATCATTGCAGGATTGCCTTTTTACGATATACTTTTAGGTAAGCGAGACACTAGATATAGTGCATACCATAAGTATACGAAAAACATAGAAACATCAAAGCAACCTCTCTGAATTCGTTCAGAGAGTATCAAAATAAATCAATCTGCTCTTCCACCGCAATAAGCGTACACAGTGCGAGGGTAAGCAGCTAATAAGTTGGTTCATGTGCGTAGCAACTTCAGCAGAGCGGCTGTCATACGGTAAAATAAACCAATTATAGTCTCGTCAATTCATCATCTCGTCAAATCAGAAAGAGGAAAGAACTAAACATTATTTATTTAAAACGTTTTTTATCCATCGTTCTAAATGTTTTAAAAATTTAATAATTCGTGAATTGTGCATTCAATAGTTTGTTCTACGTATTTTTGGGTGTGACCCACATCCAAAAATAGGTAGCTTACCCTATATCATCCCGTTTTTGTAAGAGGGAGAGGGAAACAAATAGGTAGATGGGCAGCAGCGTTTTCCAAAGTTCAGCACTTGCCAATCGTGGTAACTATGGCAAACCCTCCCCCCTATGTGAAAACCTATGCAGAAGACCTATGTCCAACATTGAACCATAATAGGCCGTAACGGTAGTTTTATTAAATGACGAGTGATGTTGATTTATAAAACAAACAAAAAAACGGGTACTACTTGAGCAGGTATAGTAATACAAACAAATCATCAAAATACAATAAAATTCTTCGTAATATTGACTTTTCTACTTACCAATGGTAGCATTTAGCAATAGCAATAGGTACCATTGAGCCAACTGCAAAATAAACTTTTAACGAAAACTGCTACCACGCATATTTCATATTTATTTTCACACAATACTACAAAAAAGTATTCACAGGTTAACGCACCTACCTCTGCTCATCCCGATTAGGTGGTGGAGGAAATGTATGCGGACATATTTAGAGCCATGCATTCCTCTAAAACACACTATACGGTGTTAATGGGAGACTTCAACTTAAAACTAGGCAAAAGAGAGAACTGTAAACTGAGGGTAAGGAAATTTGGTATAGAGCAAAGAAACCCAATGAGTCAGTAGTGGGTCGATTTTACGGAGAAAGAGGGACTCTTTATGAACTCTTTCTTCAAACACTTTCTTTATGAACTCTTTCCTCCAGATACGGCCGCACTAGAAGTGGACCTGGTCGAGCCCCCACGATGCGACAACAATGAGATTGACTTTATTATGACGAATAGACGACAACTGTTCAGTGACCTCGCAGCGATCATAAGGATGAAAACTGACCGCAATCATCGAAATGTGAGAGGCCCACTGAACCTAAATGTTAAGTGTGAGCAGCAGAGCCCAACATAGCCCAACGAATTAGTAAGCTGAAGTAGCAATGGTCCGGCCATATAGCTCGAAAATCCGACAACCGATGATGAAAAAAGGTTATTAATGGCAGCTTCTTACTGGCAGGCGAAGTGTTGGGTGACACCCGACTAGATGAAGTGACGACCTGATAAGTCATGCAGGAAGTCGATGGATGCAGGTGACTCAAGACCGTGCTTCGTAGCATTCCTTGGGGGAGGCCTATGTTCAACAGTGGACTTGTGAAGGGCTGTAGTGCAATGATAATGATGCATCTTAGCAACTTGATTTGGTATCAAAGTATCCCAGCGATGACGTGACGAATGAACTCAACATAAAGTAACTGTTGAGTCGGAAAAGGATTTTATCGATATCGATGCGACTACTGCATTCACTAATTCCAATGCAAAGAAATATTTGGTGGATAGCATCCGCGGATAGTGCGATACGAAACAAACGAAAATTTATAATCATGTTAAGTAAGTTGCCATGGAAAGTTTGTCCACTATAAAGAATGTCGTTAAGAGAGACGCGAGTGCTAGTTGTAGCACTGGCATCGAATACTACACGTAACTTAGAAGTAAGTCTATCTTTTCTAATGACACGGTGTTGCGGTGCAAAATGTGACGGCGTCTCTTTAGAGTTATCCATGCGTGGAAGCTTAGGCGATATAAAGTCTTTTTTTTGGATAACCATAATGACATCGTCATAAGCCTCCTTTAATTTGGGTAATGCTAGTTAGCTTTAGATTTTTTGCTGATTTTTTTGACACTTGACGCGATTCACCAAGAGATATAATCTCCTCTTTAAAGGGCAGAGCTACGATATATCGACCATCACGGTCACGATCTGTCGTGCGGACATAAATTTCCTCACATAATCTATTATCCGGGCTAAGTATGGGCGGAATTTTCCTGTGCAATAAAAACATCAGACATGCACGATAATTAATAGTCTATTTCATTATATTAGTTACAAAAACTTTTGTAACACGGATTAGCTGTAAGGTAAAATGAACGTCAAAAATATTCTATTCGACTAATAATAATAATAATGTCCTCCAGACCGAATTTCGGCCACGGAGGCCTGCCTCAACGGAGGCTAGCCATCGGCGCAGGACAGGATTATAGTGCCCAAGTGTATGCGCAAGCACAGGTGCACTCTCTATTCCCTCACTCTCATAATCCGATTGGACGGTGAACCGACACGACCGAAGAGAGATCAGGCGCAGGACACCGCCAACTTTCTGACTTCGGGCAACTACTGAGAATTTCTTGACGGAAAAACTTAATAATTAATTCAGCCGACCTGATGATCAGCAGTCGCACTACTACAACCACTAGACCAACGAGGCAGTCGACAAATAACATTAATCGCTGCCGTCTTCGTCAAACATCAAAAAATGATTATGGATTCTTCTTTTTTCCTGATGTGTCCCACATTTTAGAATTACTTATCTGCTTATATAATATTAATATTTTGTTTGTTTATATTGTATATTAAGGACGGTTGAGCTGAAATTATAATCGATTCAAAGTTTAGTTTAATCTATCCACTTCAGATAGTTTAATACTTTTTTTTTAAATCAAAGTGATCACTAAGATGACTTTGATTTAAAAAACGTATTTGATTACCGTCGCCGCTACTTCAATGTTTATGAGTAGAATAAAAGTGTGATAATATCAGTTGTTTTATTTATCGAACACTTATCAAAATTATCATCTTTTACGATTCAGTATATAAGTGTAAATTATTTTTAAAATTCTTCATTAATGGGTTCATTCCTGATTAACAACCTTTTTGATTTTTAATATTTATGCCAATATTTCTATTATTTTCATTTTATCGTACAAAAATACATCGGCCGCCAAATTGCTTACTATAAAGTCATCATGATCCTGCCTACTGCATTGATTTTACTCAACGGTGTCGTGTAAGTAAGCTTTAAATCTAAGTGAAGAGCATTTCGCCTCGCATGCAGCGCAGGCGGCGTTCAGCACGCATTTTGAGCGGCCTCCATACGAAAACGTAACGGTCGTCATTAAGGACATGGTAATACACGAGCATATGTTGGTTATACACGCCGAATGTTCCGCCCATAGACTTAGAATATACTGGCGATAGATGACCTGACAGCCCGAAAACTCGTGACTAATTTTGATTTGCGTTGTGTGCGTTAGCTAGGGATGTACATTTCACTTACAAGGACTATCGAGATATGATTGATAAGAAAAAGGTAAAAAGATTAAAAAAAACTAGTTTAGTGCACGACACTAAATAAGTTCAAAAAATAACTGAATTTTTAACATGATATTCTAAAACAATTAAAAAATATTCATATAACATGTTCCCGAGAATAAGCAACACCTACGAGTTTTGTTGGATTTTAATTCAAAACATACAAAATCCGAATAATCTATGAAGAGACTCACAGACCCCAAGAATCAACTCGGAAAATTGTATTTTGGACCTTAAGAAAAAAATATTTACTGTCATATACAGTTTCCTCCGAATTTTTTTTTTCAACATTATTTTGATCAAATATGTATGTAGGTAAACTTATATAATTATGTAAACACCCATTTATATTTTATATATTTTATAAAATGTTTTGCTGGGGTAATAAAAACGAGGACATTAACTACATAATGGCTGCTTTATTTTGTTTATTTTAAGTATAACTTTTAACCACCATTATATTTTATTATATTTTAACCCATCAATTTTCTTTCGGTTTATAATTTGCAATTGGTTCTCGCCTGCTACTAAACTTAATATTTAACTTGGGATATTTCACTTAAGCTATCAGCTCATAATAATTATAGTCTGTGTTAATCCGAAGTAGAGTTGACTTTGTTTATAGTTTATTTTAGTTTTGTTTTCTATTATCAATATTGTTTTAGTCTTTTTAGTACATTACTTTTAAATTGTCTTTTTCGCAGTCTGGTTTTTATTATTATTTTTTATTTTTTTAATTTATTTTATTTGTGACTTTTTAGTATCCCGGCACACTCTTATGAACTAAAACTGTGTTATTTATATAAGTCCGTCCGTCCGTCGACGTTTTGATCGTGTGGTTTATGTAGTAACTTTTTACGATTTAGCGAACTAATTGCTAGACCTGACAGTGACCTAACTCGGCTCAAAGCGACAAAAGACCTTTAGCGAAAGGATTACTGCTTGAATCATCAACAGCCTGGTCTAAAGTTGTTCCCTGTAATGTATGTATGCCACTGCCCAGCTCAAAATTCGTGAAAGCATACGTCGCTCGCTCTTTCCTTTATCACGTAAAGCATCATATTCAGTAGTACAAGGCTCAATGTGGACACCAATGCCAGATTGGTTGCCAGTCATACTAGAGTCATCAAACTCAAGAAATACAGCCACTTTCAGCTGGTCTCGACGTAAAGCAGGCTATTCTCTGTTACGGAGACCCCCATAGCACTATTAACTAGTCCATGATTAACATTTATATTGCGCCTTGACATTACCCGTGACCCCATCACCGAATGCTCCTATCATTGGTACTCTGCGGCTGTCTATTACGGACAACTACAACATTGTCAATTCTCCAACGCGAAGACTATACAATACATTTACAAAATTAGTATCTCTAGCTTGCCTCATATTTTGAGGTAATTCGCAGAAACTGAATAATTGCCACAAATTAAATTTGGTGGACCATATCCGTGGCTCACAAAAGCACTAAGATCCTCCAGCAAATTTCGACATCGGGGTAATTGCATCAGATTTCCAAAAAGAAGAATATTGACTTAGCGTTATTATTGTGTTGTATTTTTCCTGAAATTACATTTTTGTACAAAACTTGAAAGTTACAGTTGAAAATTTATTTAAATGGATTTATTTGTTTTGTTTTAAATATGATTGGGCTACGGATAATTATAATTATTCTTTTTTTTATATACTAACATTATAAACCAATTTATTATTTCTGATTAATTTTAAAAATACTACCTTAATATATTTTTGTAATTCCCTTTTAATTTCCTTTATTTTGATATCCTATTCGACAAGTTTGGTTAATTTTTTTATTACCGTATTACTACAAAAATCCGCCATTTTGTCTATTTAAAAATAACTATCTAAAACATTGAATAAAAGTATATTTACGGAATTTATCGCGCTTAATTACTACTTTAACTTATTTTTAAATTCCCGACGTTTCGGGTGCTTTACAGCACCCATGGTCACGGGGGGGGACTGAGATGAGACGTCCCAATGTCATAGTTATCCCGGCTGCCTTCAGTACTTACTATAACTACTATAACCTACTATAACCTGGAAAAAGTCCGAGAGAAACGACCTCACAGTAGGATCCTCCTTCACCACGAAAACGCGTCGTTGCACACCGCCGAGCAAACAATCGACTACTTGGAGCCCCGACCTCGCACCTTGCGATTTTTGTTTATTTCCGATAATAAAAGAAAAACTTCGGGGGAAAATGTTTCATGGAGGCCGAGGATGGAGTGGCTGCGTTACAAAAAGCCGTCAAAGAGACTCCCAAAGACGAGTGGGCAAAATACTTTTCTCAGTGGTTCCATCGGATGCTATGTATTGATGTAAATGGACATTATTTTGAAAAGTTATAATAAAACTACTAACTTGCTAGTTTGTAAAGTTTTTGATTTTATAAGAGCTTTCAGTGTCACCCTCGTACACTTATACGTAAATAGGTAGAATTCTGCGGCACGGCCTATACATAGGTATAGGCCGTGTCGCAGATTTCTACCTATTGCCCATGCGAATGCATGTGCGTGTCCGTGTTTATGTGGGCGCGCGCGCATTTGCGTGTGTATGTGTGTGTTTTTCATATAACTTTTGAATTTATAGTCTAATCGTGTTTTAATAGAATTTTTCATTGTTCTTAAAAGAACTCGTCGATTGCCACAAAGAACATCAAAATTGGTTGATCCGTTCGAAGGTTATCATTGTCAAAAAATTTCAAAAATAGTTTTTTAAATAACTTTAAAGTTTCTGCTCGGATCGCTTTTTATGTAATGCTATTAACAATTCAAAATTTCAAGTCTCTAGCTAATCGGGAAGTGCTTGAAATTTGAGTTGTGAGACCCCATCTGGACCTGCAGACAGACAGACAAACAAGAAATTATCTTAATAGGAACGTAGTAAAATACCGCATTATAAACATCAAATAAATTTAATGTGTTTTGCAAAAAATATTTGTATAAAACGCGGTTGCTGATCATGAGGTTCCGGTTTTGAATCCCGAATCGGGCCAAAATCAATTATTGATTACTCAGTAGCTGCCCGGAGTCAGGAAGTAGGCAGTGTTTCTCCATCGGAATGACGTTGGTTCTGCGCTTTGTCTCTCTCCGGTTGTATCGGTTTGCCGTCCTTTCGAACTGTGAGAGTGAGGGAATAGAGAGTGCACCTGCGCTTGCGCATAGATTCAGGCACTGTAAATCAGTCTGCGCAGATGGCTAATCTCCTTTGAGACCAGCCGCCGTGACCAGAATTCGGCCTAGAGGACATTATTTGTGTAAAATACGTCTATTGAATGCGTATTTTGCTAATTCTTTGAGCATTACAATACATACACAATACCTTGTAAATTTTATTATAGAATGTTAACACTTGCCGAACCACCTTCATCCGGTAGTGGACATCTACTCAAACAGGTAATCACCCTTTTTATATTTTATGTATCTATGCATAAATTAAAAAAAAAGGTTCATAAAAGCTTACGATAATACGAAACTTAATAAAATACAACGTTTTTGTCCTTTCCAATACAACTAACCAAAACAGGTCCTGCATTAATGTTGTCTCCAGGCGGAATTTGAACTAAGGATCCAAATAGTAGAAGCCAAGTACTTGGAGTTATTCAAAATCCTGAAAGTTCTTATAGCATTATATAGATGGGAAAATATTAATTTATTACACTATATTAAACTACGTAAAATTTTACTCTTACGCATATGCATATACAATATTGGATATCTTTATATATAAAAATTACCTGTCACGTTGTTTGCCCGCGATATGCTTCTAAACTACTGAACTGATTTCAATATAATTTTGCACACTGTGTGCAGTTTGGTCAAACTAGAGAGATAGGATAGTTTTTATCACAATAAGTGACCCTCGATGTATTTTATTACGAATTTAATGATTTTGTTTATATGACAAAGGGTCTTTGAATAATGCAGAACATGGGAATCCATTAAATATGATAGTTTGGTTAAGATCGCACAGCGCCATCTACATTTCATTGTAGCTATCAATTATATCATTTTACGGCTGGCAGGCAGGCTTTAAGTCTAATGCTCTCTCCTTCTTATTCTTATTATCTAACAACTTTACTACTACAGGTTGACGTATTCTTCCCGGATAGATGTCGATTGGCGATCGCAGTACCAGATATCTCGGATATTTTTCTTCTGACATATAATATGCAAGAGATGTGACACTACCATCTACCTAAAACTATGACGTCTTTCTGGTATTTATTATCATTACTACTTACGACACCCACAGGACGAAGTGAGGCGAATGTATAGAAATTTTATTACGCCGCCATCAAACGGAAATTTTTCCGTTCCGTGCATCTTTATTTCTAATAGTAGTAAAAATAATGTTAACATTGTCGCTAAACCACACACATGTTTTTATTGTTTTCTTGCAATCTTGTCCATCTAAACGTTGTCTGAAAGAGATCGCTTCTAGCCATAAGACCGCCCATTGTAGCACATTTCTTTCTGTCCTTTTTTTGTTAATATTTTTTTGGCGTGAAATAAAGTGTTATCTATATATAAATTTTAAGTTCCATAATATAATATGGTACTTTAAATTAACTTTGTAAGTTGCACGAAACTAAACTAAACTACTACAACTAAGAACTTACAGAATGTTTTATTTTCAGAATGATGGTGTACTCGATACACTTTTCAGTGACATATCGCACCTTGAACAAGTGATTGAGGTGTTGCTTGGAGATATTCAGCAAGGGAATCATTTATTGCTAGCAGAGGAGCAGGGATTGTTACATAAAAATATCGCAAACAGACTGTTACAGATCTTAAATCGTCCTACAGAATACATACAATTACACAGCGATACAACGATACAGTCGTTGACAGTACAGCTTAATGGTGAAACTGGCTTGTACGAGGATTCACCACTGGTCAAAGCCATTGAATATGGCCATGTATTAGTTGTAGATGATGCAGATAAAGCACCAACAAACGTGACGTGCAGTTTAAACACTTTAATGCAAAACGGAGAAATGGTATTGAGTGATGGAAGAATAATAATTCCCAAGAAAATTATCGATATTTCCGGACGCAAGTCAGCGAATTTCATTCCTGTGCATGAAGATTTTAGAATGATAGTAATGGCTAGTCGCACTGGATTTCCGTTTTTGGAGAAAGACTTATCTGCTTCTTTAGGTAATTTATTTTGGACATACTTGTAGGCTTTGATATGGTAAAAGTTGTATTAAGTGAATAGGTGTTCGTGGAACCAGTAGTCTTCGTAAATAATACCATTCATTGTTAATGGTCTTGCAGTTTTTGAAATGGTGCTCAAAAATCTACCGGAAGCCAAGAAAATTTTGAAGCGCTTACTTATCAAGCCCCGTTGCCGTCTTTTGAATACTTGCAATGGTATGATTAGATTTTGATGCTGTAATCGCGTTATGACCGCGACACAATAAGTCGGCTCTACCTTTGGGGAACGTGCTCTAAATGAATATCATGATAAAAAAGGAAAAAAATACTTCTGAATTTCTAACAGTTACTGACGAAATCCGCACACCATTTTACTGGTTGCAAACAATTCCATTTTAAGCCTCATGGATAACAACGCATTACCATTTCGATTTTTATACTACTAAAACAGGTGTTCGTATCTATACACAATTTACTTACTACCAGCAGATTTATTGTGGCAGGCTCTTGCAATTTAGGAGTAAAAATTTAATTGAGACTTGGTTAACAAATATGGGTCATATTTAGAAACGACCAACTAAATCAATTTTTTCGTGATAAGCAAGACTTGATGTTGCGTGTTTAAGTTGATCGACATTAATTTAATAATAAATTAATAAGGCAATGGTGTCGAGAACTATAAACAACCTATTTTATATTCTACATAAAGCATTTCAAAAACATATTACCATTCCTTCTTTAAATTGAGTCATATATATTATCCTTAAATAATTCTTTGATTATAGTATTCAAAGCTGGCCGTAAAGGCACCACCGTCAAAGCAGTCGGCTCTGGCCCAGTGATTACTACTGCTGTGTTTGGTGTCTATGGCACGGGACCACATACTGCTACAGCTGTAGCTACAGGTTTATCAGTCGCCACGGCAACAGCATTGACTTATGGTAGGGGAAGCTCAACTGCTACAGCAACTGCTTCCGGCTCATCGTCATCAACCGCCACAGCACACTCATATGACGCAGGACGTGCCACCGCAACAGTGACCACATCTGGATATTCATTTGCTCACGCCACAGCGGAGGCATACAACGCAGGAGGTGCCACTGCAACAGTAACCTCGACTGGTTCATCAAATGCCGGTGCCGTTGCACGCGCACAAGACTCAGCAGTTGCCACCGCCACAGCAACCACTTCTGCTTCGTCATCTGTTAATGTGCGGGCGATCGCCAGGGGCAATCAAGTCGTCACCGACACACAATCTAGGCCTTGAACATAGATTTAAATTTTTAGCATTTTTTTATATATCATATAAAATACCTTAAAACGTATGAGATTTTATTTCCTATTTAAATTTTTCTGAAAATTTTATTTTATTAATTTTATACTAGGTATTTCTAACTTCATATAGTGATGGTTGTAAGAAAATTATTTTAGATTTACACTATCCCTATATCACAAAATATGTTTGTGTATCCAAAGTTCTTGTAGCGAAGAAAATATTGTTAATTTTCAAATATTCCGGCAAGCAAATTACTAATTAAATATATTCCTGTCGTATTTTTTAGTAAACGTTTGGAGCGAGGCAGTACTATACTTGAAAGGCCTATATTTGAAATCCGTCATAAAATTTGGAAATGTTATTATTGTGTTCCAAAGACTCAATAATAAACCGGCTGTGAGAGAGACATTTTATCTTAGCCCTCAGATTTTCTCTGGGTGAGCTGATTTTGATGATTCTTTTTTTATTTGAAAACTGGTGTTTCTCGTGTGGTGTCATGTAAATTTGATCGAGATCTGAATAGTATCAAACAAATAAAAAATCAATCTATTGAGGAGGGCTCTCTTTATTTCACGTGCCTCACTAAGTAGGTAAAGAGTTGGGGGTAGGTTGGGGGCTAGGAATAAATATAAATATACTAAGACTAGAATGGATATGAGGAATGGAATTATAAATTGTAAAATAGAAAACAATAAATATTTTAGGGACAAACTTATTTAACCACGGTAACAACATCGCCACTGGGTCCATCACATTCAATCCCATGTACCCTTGTTGAGAATACAGTTAATCCAGTGAGTAAGTTCAGTACCAAAGAGATAAATGACGACATTATTCGCAATATGACTATAGAAACATTTCCTGGTCACGCCAGTCTCTGTGTTGAACATGTTTAGTGTTCCCGATGTTTTGTGCGATATTATGGATTAGGCATACATACTCAGCTGATTAGCACTCGCTGTAAGTTTCACACTACGCGAGAAATCCGGGTTTAATCCCTGTCGGCACCAATGAAATTGTTAATTGCAATTGTAAAGGAAAACATCATTAGGAAATGTGCATGTCTTTCTCAGTCATAAGAAAAAAAATATTTCGAAGACATGTGAAGTTCGGCAACACGCATTGGGGCAGCGCGGCGGACATTTACTTTCCTAAAACCCTCTCAGAAATGAAAGGGCTTTTGCCCAGCAGTGAGACGTATATGGGCTGTAACTTTAACTTTTTAAGTTTAAAACATCTACCAGCCAACATAATGAAGACGGTTTTTGGGACAATAACTAAAAGTAGGACAGGAGACCTATTGGATATAGAGAGGTGTGGTATATCACTTGCCAACGCAACATCTAAGGTAGGTACTTGATGATCTACTTGACGCGTAGCTCCATAACATTTAAACCTGTGTGACTTACAGTTCAAGTTCAGGTGGGGGTATCCACTGAGTCTTAGAGACACCATCAAGTACTAAGCAGATAGTTCTATAATCAATACCTCCTCATTGCCCTGTAACCCTATGTCTGTTTGTATCCACTGCAATACTAGATTACGGTTTTTACATAGAATTTTAAATATTTAACTTAATATCGAATATGCCGTCCATACATCTCTGAGACCAGAGGCGCATCGAGCAATATATTCAAGAGCACTCTTGCTACCAGTTAGTATGACTGTTTTTTAAAAACTGTTGTACCAGCACTTAATAGGGTATCATTTATAGCAATTAACTCAGCTGATTTTATCGTCAAATTATTGGGAATTTTAATTTCACAGTTATTACCCAGCAATGAGTTGACATAAACGACACCTACACCACATTTATCTCTGGATCCATCACAAAAAAAACTGTGATTAAATATTTAACATTTATTTCGATTTTATATTATTTATCTCCTGATATTTTATAGTAAGGGTGACTACAATTTAATTCCTGCTTAATTACGGTTTTAACATTAATACTTGATACTCAAGTATTAAAAGAGAACATATTCAGTGGATCCGAAAAATACCATCATCATCATCATCATTACAGCCTTTCACAAGTCCACTGCTAAAGGGCCTCTGAATAGGCCTCCCCCAAGGAATGCCACAAAGCACAGTCCTGAGATACCTGCATCCAACGACTTCCTGCATGTCTTACCAGGTCGTCACTTCATCTAGTAGGGGGTCGCCCTACACTACGCCTACCGGTACGAGGCTGCAACTCGAGAACCTTTTTCCCCGTCGGTTGTCGGTTCTTCGACTATATGGCCAGCGTATTGCCACTTCAACTTACTAATCCGTTAGGCTATGTCGGTCACTCCGGTTCTACTGTGGATATCATCATTTTTTATTTATTTGTTTATTATGCATAATATGTGTGTTTTACAGTTGTTATGAAAAAATATAGTACAACACATTAACCATTTCAGGTGTACAAAATTATAGAAATTTATAAACATTAAGTATTATAAATTATAATAACAAAAAAAAATATATAGACATTGCATAATAATAAACCAAAAATATTACTAAACTAGAAATTGATGTAATAAAACAAAAACATTTACTACTATTTGCTCTATCACATTATTAATATTTATATTTTCATGTCACATTAAAATAATCTCCAAAATTTAAAGATATTATTTTACAAACAACTCACTAACCGAATAAAAATATTTATTAAATAGCCACTTTTTCAACTCGTTCCCAAAACGCTTCCTTGGTTGTAATTTTATGTTACTGGGTATTTTATTTTTAAGTTTATCACGCAGAGAAACTCCTAGTACGGCCAGCAGCGAAGGACTACGTCTCAGATCCATAAGTCATCACTGGCAACACGCACTGGTTGTACAGTCTCGTTTTTAGGTTTTGAGGTATACCTGACCAGAAGATGTCCCGTAGACGTCCCGTTTCCCGAACGCTGCTCAGCCATGGGATAGGTTTCGTACTCTGTTTTTGTACTTGGAAAGCCATTGTACCCCTACTGTATAAACACTTCAGTCATTCAATATACCGACAGTCAACTTGGCACCGCTGAACGGACTGTAGTACCGCCCAAATTTCGACGGAACAAAGGCTTTCTCATACGCTCATACATACGCCAGGCAAAGTGGCAGATTATACTCTTCGATCTTCTGTACAATCTGATGTATGCTATGTATGTGGTCTATAGTACTGAAGCCTTTTCGTAAATCGGCTTATTCGGGAGGCTGGAAGTCGTCGAGTCTGCGTGCGAGACGATTCGTAATGACTCTCGCAAAAACAGCACGTAGACGTGGCTCAGAAGGCAAAACGGTCCGTAGTTCTTCAAAGAGAGAGCTGTCACCTTTCTTACGAACAAGACCACCGCACTTCTGCTCCACGCTTCCGGAGTAGCGCCAACATGGAAGATGGAATTGAAGAGCTTCTGAAGGAGTTTAAGTACCGGTGTTCCACCCGCTTTCAGAAGCTCCGCTGTAATTCCATCTTCACCTGGGACCCTGCCGTTTTTAAGGTGTTGGAGAGCCATACTAATTTCGTTCAGACTGGCAGATATTATCGGAATAGTGTTGGATAAGACTTGCTCTTGAATTGTTACTTACACTTGCATGTGGCTCCAATGATGCTGCCCATAGAACCTTTCAATATTACTCAAAATGATGCTGCCACTATCAGTCTTCAGCTTTGACAGTAGGCTCCTTCTGAGAGACAGATCTCTGGCAAAGACTTTGGAGCCCTGGTTCCGCTCAATCGCTTCTTCAATACGAGCTGTATTGAAGTTGCATAAGTCCCGCCGCATGCATTTGGAGATATGTTTGTTCAGTTGGCTGTATGCTGTCAAATCTGCTGACGACTGCATATTCATCTCCCGTCTAACATCCATGAGATTAAGAGTGTGATCGCAGAATTTATGTGTTCTTTTGTTGCGGGTCTGACCACATTGACACTTTCTGACTGAGACTGCATTGCAATCTTCTAGGCTAGATGTGTTTTCTTTTATTTTGCCAGTAACTACTTGACAGAATAAGCAGTGCTCTGTTAATATTTTAATAGCTGTAGTATTAGTTTTAGATTTGTCTTTGAGGCAATATTTATTTGTTAAAAATTTTCTTCTAAATTAATTCACTTTTCATAACGCGTATTGGTGTACTTTTGATAAAACCCCCTATAATACGAAGTGCTTGATTTTGGATTTTATCTAATTTACAAATGTTTTTATTAGCACCCATATCATATAAAAAGCAGCCGAAATCAATTCTGCTTCTGCATTTCTTACAAGTTATAAGTATAACCTACGTAAATGCTAAGGATGGACAACCAAGCCCTATTAATATACAAATTTTAATATCTTCTGGCTAATTTTATTAATTTGTTTGGACCATAATATGTTATTTGTACAATAATTTTATACGAATTTTAAAGATAAATTACCCGACATCACGAAATGCTCGTGAATGGTGAATTTTAATACTTTTAAAATGTCTGATTATTAACGTCTTTTATAGCATGAGTTTTGTCGATTATTGTTTCCATCTGATCTTAATCTGTAACAAAGGGCCTACTCGAGCGTTTTAGATCTTCAAGGTTTTCTTTAGCTACAGCATTTTCACCATGAGGTAGGTATCTAAACCTAGTGTTAAAACTATTGATTTGAATCGTCAGTAGCAGGATTTATTGTGAAAGTACCCAGACATTACTAAACAGGTGTTATTCCGAAAAATCGCGAAACATGATTTCGTCCACCACATTGAGACGGTGACGGACGGTGGTCGGACCGTGCACGCAATGGTGCATCTCTTGCCACCAGACACGTATAAAAATTTAAAGAAGAATTTTGCATCATGCGGGAACTTGGAATCTGTCGTTCTTCGAAGAGCGCGTGGGCTGGCCCACTTAATGTAGTTCCTAAAAAATATAGATATAAGTCTCTGTGGGGACTATCGCCAGCAGAATTCGATAACAAAGTCCGACCGATACCCGATTCCTCGCTTGAATGATTTTACTTTTATTCTTCTGGATAGAAATTCTAAATA